TGTAGCCACAGCTGCCCTGAGGCGCACTGACAGAGGTGGGGCTGCCATGCACCGGCGCCACCGGACCCTCGGACCACCATCAGTAAGTAAGGCAGGTGAGGTGAAGCCCAAAGACACGATGACTAACGGGACAGAGTCCACCCAGTCCACAGAACCAGAACTCTTCTCAGCACAATAAGAAACTGAAGCTTGGAGATAAAAGTTCACACATCCTTGTTGTTTGAGCGTTTAGACCCAGTCTGCACCACTGGTTTCTAACAGAACCAGTTTCCACAGAAATACTGTCCACATTAACCACAAACCAAAAAGCAGAGGAAGAACAGGTTTAACTTGTGTTTTTGTGGAAACTCTTAGAATGTGTCAGTTTTTCTCAGACAGACTCCTTCGTGCACGACGTCATGTTTTAKCTCCGTCCATGAGCTTCTGGACGTTTGACTGACTGTAGAAACATCTGCTTCCTGGCAGCTACAACAGGAAGTTAGGAGGTGTTTTAAACCTGTGGTTGAAGCTAAATGCAGCACATGAGCACTTTCAGCAAAAACACCCCCCAAACTTCTGACCAATCACACAATAAGTTCATCCATGGAGGGGGTGAACTGTTCGGCCCGCGGGTTGTGACCAACRGGCAGCCGGGTCGACGTGAGAACAAGGTGACGTCATTTTCACCATCAAACTGTGACGATCAGAAACGGTTTGAGCAGATCAGAGGGATGAAGAACGCTTTAATTCAAATGACTCTTCATCAACTCTGACCCACCATGTGACCAACAGAACATTCTTCTTCTTATAAATCCTCCAGAACCAGCAGGGGTTTGGTCCACATTCAGACCAGTGATCCCTTGGTCCAGACCAGGGTTCAGACCTGGGTTCAGACCTGGGCCTAGACCTGGGTCCAGACCTGGGACCAGTCTGCTGTTCTGTTATTCTTTGAATATGACATCATTGGATAACAGTCACATGACCTTTGAAGACAAGAGGTCCATTCCTGTCTCTGTCCACTCAGGAGACAAAGACGTGGTGTTTCAGAGGACAACTTCCTGAGGACACACGGGGACCTTTGATGATGCTCATTATCTACATGAACCTAACATAACCCTGACCACGACAGGTGACAGAAGACCTCATTTTAGGTTTTTCACTCGTTTAGATTGCATCATGTTAGCTAGGACACATGTCCACTGTCTGACAGGACAAGAATGGACACAAGTCCACTGTCTGACAGGACAAGAATGGACA